CAAGCATACTGGTGCTCAACACGAAGAGCCTTTATTAGACAACAGTACTCCCAGTTTCTGCTTGTAAGTGTATTTGTAGTCGACTGCTGCCCGTTTTGCTGCAGCTTCTGGAACTGAGGTCGCTGATACATTCTTGTTGCGCAGAGTTTTTTCTTTGTTCCATGTTGCATCGGCAATCATGCAGGCAGCCTGCATGAAAGAAAGATATGATAAGACAGAGAGAAAAATTAGTTACATGGCTGTAATACAAAGGTTAACACACCAGTCTAAAATGCTGTAATTGCAAGCTCTGGCACTTTCTAGCATGAGTAGTTCGAGATAGCACACACATAAGCATTCGTCCTTAGCGGTCATGCATGCCAACATCGACAGTGCGATTCGGAGTACATCATTAGAGTGTTCCAGATGAGTGTGGTGACCTCTGCATGTAGGATGGAAATGTTAGCGATCTAACAAGGCTTACTGTGTACAGTACCTCCCACACGTCATGCTTGCTGCGCCCTTGTACTGTGTCCGCCGCAGTCACGAGCCAACACTAGTTGGGGTACCAAACCAAATGTGCAAAAACTGCTAATACAACAGTTAAGGTGGTTAAAAAGCAAAATACAGTGAAACCTCGTTAAACCGTAGTTGGCCGGAGCTCGGAAAAAGTACGTACTAAACGGTAGTACTGCTTAACCGAAATAGCGTCAGGTCGCTCACTTACCTGTCAAAAAAAGAAACCTTCAGAGAGTGCGATGAAAGAACAAAAAACGTGCAGTAATTTATTAACTTCGCAAGGCAAAGTCTGTAATCTTCATTTGACGACGCGGCGGCCTAGCAGCAACGACAGCAGCCTCAAACTCACTTATGCTGTGAGCCAGCTTTTCCGCCAGCCTCCCCTTCTCGGCAAATACCCGCATGACGCTGACATTGCGCAATGCGCAGCCTCGGCCACTGTCGGACCTGGATCACCCATGTTGTCGCTTTCCATGTCGTCCTCATCAGTATCATTTGGCAACACTTCGACAACCGAGGCAACAATGGCTTCGTCGGACATGTCCGGAAATGTCTGCACATCGCTGTCTGCGTCTGTGAAGTCGGGGAAGGAAATGCCTTCCGTAAGGCCCTGCCGCTCTAGCACTTCAGCTAGCAGAGTTTTGCAAGCTTCGTCTACGATGTCCAAAGTCTGGTCGATGGTGTCACTGGCGTCATCTGCGTCGCCCGCACACACACTGAAGCCAGCATGCTTGAAGCAATTTTGAACTGTCGTTGCTTCGACCTGCTGTCACTAGTATTCGAGCAGGTGGATCGCGCCAATGAGGTCGATGGAGAATAATTTGCCACATTCAATGGCGAGAAGAAATCTGCGCAGCAGATTCTTCTTGTAGAGCTGTTTTACAGCTCGAATGATACCTTGGTCCAAGGGCTGGGCAATCGCTGTTGTGTTTGGTAGCAAAAATGCAAACTTCACAGCCGTCAGGTTGTTCAGGACGACGTGCCCCGAAACCTTATCTAAAATAACAACTCTTCTGTTCTTAGCCGCCAAACTACGATCGATGAGGCGCCGTACTCTTCAAAGAGTTTTGCCGTCATCCATGCTTTGCTGTTGCTGCGATAGATGACCCCTGATGGCAACCGGACGCCTTTGAAACATCTAGGCTTCGCCGGCTTTCAAATCGTGAGGAGCGGAGTTTTATCAGTTCCAGTCATGTTTACGCAAAACTCCACTGATATTCTGTTTTTTTTGCATGCTTGCCGCCGGTGCACATCTCGCCTTTGAATGCGAACGTTTTGTCAGGTAGCAGCTTAAAGAATAGCGCTGATTCATCCATATTAAAGATATCATCAGGTGCGTGGTCTTCCAAGATGTTCTTCAGCTGACCATTTTGCCACTGCTCCGCGCCATCCACGTCAGCAGCAGCACCTTCTCCCGAAACAGTCCTCGTGGTAATGCCGTGCCTCGCCTTAAATCTGGCCAGCCAGCCATTACTGCACACGAAGCTGTCATGGTTGAGCTGCGAGGCAAAAACCAGGCCCTTCTTCACGAGCAGGGGTCCACTGATAGGCAGATATTTTGACCGTGCAGCTTTTAGCCACTTCACCAGCGTCTCCTCTACATCCGAAAACGCTGAACCGCGTAGCCGGCACCTTTTCGCAGTTGCAGCAGCACTGCCTGAGCAACTTCTCTCTGAAATTCCAAATTCCACACACCTAGGTTAACAGGCAGGTTCTTCTCGCGTGCCAGCGCCGATTTTTTTTCATGCCACTTTCAATAGCGCGAATTATGTCCCAATTTCTCCTCTATTTTCAGCACTTGATGCTTTTGTCCCAGCTTCGGCATGACACAAGTACGAAGCAGCACAAGCACACATACACAACACGTGAAAAACGACGCCAGAGCTGTACGGCACGGATCAACCGGAGAACACCTATGCACAGCGCCAAAGGAACAAAGAGAGCAAAGCAAGCGCACACCGTGTTTGTGTGTTTGTGCAAAGCGCCATCGCGTGGACAACACCAGAAGCCTAGCCTGCCGAGTGCTTCTTGTTGCACAAAAATCCAAGAGATGGCGCTCATAAACACAGCCGCCATCATCATCAACTCAAACAAGCGAGGAGTGTTTCGATCTCTGGGGCTTGCTGTTCTGTCGGGATGCCCAGTGGGGGACGACATGCCACGGCGAGTGCGCAACGAAAATTGGAAAAACTACTTATTAACCGATACATACGCGATAAGCTGGTACGGCTTATACGGGTACAAAATGCATTAATTATGTTCAATGGCCGCCGAGTCGGGGATTAATTTGACTTCACTACTTTTAAAACGAAACTGCTGTTTACGTGGGTACGGTTTAACAAGGTTTCACTGTACTTGCCTTCATTGTAAAAAAAAAAGGCTGAATCAACGGATCTTATCAACAGCATTACTTATCTTATCAACAGCATTACTGCAAAGACACTGGATATAAAACATGCCGCTAACGCTTGTTATGTGTATCTGTTGTGGCTGGCTGTGGCAAAGAAGCGTGGTCCTTGCAATGATAATGCTTATAGCACTTGCCGCAGCGCATGCACTTTTATAAAAATATAACTTACACGATTATGGCTTTTGTCAAAAAAAAACAATACATAGTTTGTAGTGAGAAATTGTTTTTTGAAGTTTATTTTGACCTTCCTTTATCGCTTCGAATGCAACGTCTTTGGAAGGGTTGGGTTGTTAGTACTAAACCAATGCTTGTTCAGATGCTTTCTCACTCTCGTATAAATAAACTGTGGTGGCTGCTCGCGTCAAAATGATGTGAAGTGCCAAGAAAAGTTTGTAGCAGGTATTTTACTATAGTAAGGTGGTTTACGATTTTCCGAAAAAAATGATACAGAATTTTTACCACCTCACTCATTGCCAACTTCACAGAACTTGCACTTGGCACTCCATAGGGTTAACCAGTTGAAATTGATTGGTTTCCACCAGGTGAACCAGTTGAACTCTTTACAACTAGAATGTTTCCAATAAGGGGTCTACTCCAATTGAAAAGTCTTTTCCAATTCAGATGTGCATATTCAATTAGACCAACAAGCATTCCAATTGGGAGGCCAATTGGAATTCACTGATCCAATGCTTTACCAATTAGGATGTGTGCAACCAATTCGACTGACAAGCATTCCAATATAGAGAGACCACTCAGAAACTGGTGGACCTATTGAATGACCAATCTGAACTGTGTGGTCCAATTAGTACTCCACAATGAAGCACTACATCCCAGTTGGTTTCCATTTCATTCCGTTTAGGACCAATTGCTAGGAACTAGTGTGACCGATTGGACCAATTCACTTTTTTTGACTGGGTGGTGTTCTCGTGAGTAACCATTGGCAGTTTCACATGGCAGCGTGTTTGAGAACAGCAGCCAATGTCGGCTGCCTGAGACTTCAATATTTCAGCAATACTTGTGGCATGCACAAGAAAGACCACCCAGGCATAGCTAGCACCTCCCACCAGAAACATTATTCGCGCCTCATCAGGCCCAGTCACTGTGTGGCATGCAACAGTCAATGCCGTCCTGCACAGAGGCAATTTCGCAGGAGGCCTTTAAATGTCGCAGCGTGGCCGAATGTAAAGAAGCTAAACCAGCTTGCAGCACTGGCGCGAGCCCGGTCAGTGCGAGGCACTGACACACCAGTTTAAAATGCTGTAATTGCACGCTCTGGCACTTTCCAGAATGAGCAGTTCGAGATAGCCCACACAGTGAGCATTCGTCCTTAGTGGTCATGCATGCCAACATCAACCGTGCGATTCGGAGCGTGTCATTCGAGTGTTCCAGATGAGTGTGGGGACCTCTGCACTCGGTTACAGGCTTTGTGTCTACTTCTCTCGTCTAGTACCTTAGCCACTTGACCACCGCGTCAAGCCGCCGCAGCGGGATCAAATGCAGCCGCCGCAGCGGGATCAAATCCCGGCTGCGGCGGCTGCATTTCCGATGGAGGCGGAAATGTCGTAGGTCCGCTTGCTCAGATCTGAATGCACGTTAAAGAACCTCAGGTAGTCTAAATTTCCGGAGCCCACCACTACGATGTCTCTCATAATCATATGGTTGTTTTGGAACGTTGGACCCCACATGTCAATCTAGTACATGCCAAATGTTTTAATTTGTACATTTTTCTATACTATGCAAAAACCTGTAAGCATATGCGACTGTTGCAGACATTTGCCGCTTTTTTGTTTTGTGGGACATTCTTTTTTTTTTCTCAATCGCGAAATATATTGCAAAATCTTGTTTCTGGACGACACTTGGTCGAGTGGAACCTTCTCTATTGTATTTTCCTTTCTCTTCGAGTTTTTCTGGTATATATTACCTTCGGTTAATAAACCAAGTTTTGGTCTGCACTTGTTTGTCTCCTTTTTTTTGCGACCTGTTAGTTCGTGTGGCCAATATTTCAGTATCAATCTATACCAACTAGCCCGCCTTCTAACCCTTCCTCAATGTTTTGTCTGCATATCACACTGGCAACTTGCATTCTTTGCAGAGATGGGTCGTCGGGTGGACGACGAAGATGTGGAGGACAGCTCGGACGAGGTGCACGATTCAGATTGGTCCTCGGAAGATGACCCAGAGCGGCTTTGGTGCATCTGCCGCAAGCCACACAATGACAAGTGCGTCTTTGGCATCTTGTCTTGTTCTGCTTGGTTCATTCACTTGAATGGCACCCATGTTCACTTGACTTTCATAGCTTTGGCGAGGTACCCTTTCTTGACCCTGCAAATGGAAGTTTATTGGCAGCATGTTCAGGAATCTAAATTTGTTGTGCCCAAGGAATGTCCAATAGGTCATTCGGAAGCCAATGTGTGCCTGTGGCTGATAAGCCACTACATTGAAAATGTGTGCACGGAGTGGGCTGAGAGCATGCTATAACTTTTCCTATTCCTTTGAGGGAGTTGCCCCACCACTTTTTTTTCCTCAATTATCATATTTACTTGCGTACTATCTTTTGCAATTTTGGGGTTCCAAAAAAAAGGGGGGGAGGGGGGTTCACTAATCGCTTCGTGGTATTGTGAACACATCCGAAGTATGTGCAATAGTATACCTCTTCGGCGTTGGATAGGCTTGTGTATGCCTACTTGTTTATGCTAGTGGTGCCCACTTGTGGCTGAAAAAAAGCACGGTCTCTCCACAATGAAATTCTTTTCTCTTATACGAGTTGTTTCTTATGAGCAGGGTACAACACCAGTGGTGGGAAACTAGCGCCAATATCGCCATTCTACACCAACTGGAAATTACTGTGCCAGAATGCTCTAAAAGGGTCTTTTTTTTTTTTTTGTCTAATTTACGTCATTGCTGCACCACAACCTGGTTCTAGAACGGAAAGTACTAATGTTGACAGCACGCATTGTGAGCAGATATTGTAACAAGTGGATGAGGATGATGTAGAGGACAAGGAGGAAGACGAGGTTGAAAAACCCTGAGAGTTGGGCACCATCTTGTCCTCTTCATCGTTCTCTTCCGCCTATTGCAGTATTTGCGTACGCAAGCGGCTATAGAATCGGCGCCATCCAGCCCAGAAACAAGGACGCGACCGTGTTGTGAACTATGCCAGCCGCGTTTCGCCTGCTGAGCGAAAATATTAAATTACTGGGAGCGAATGCTTGGCACTCATTAGGGCAGTCAAGAAATTTCGCCCCAATTTGTACGCTCGACCATTCACAGTCATCACTGATCACCATGCTTTGTGCTGGCTTTTGTCCCTGAAAGACCCTTCAGGCCGCCTTGGCCGTTCGGTGCTGTGTCTTCTAGAATTTGGCTACTCAGTCTTGTACAAAACCGGCCGCTTGCATTAAGATGCGAACTGCTTGCCCCTATACCCTGTCGACCCACCAGACGGTGACTCACCTAACTCTCTCTGTCCGCTTTTCATGACATTGGAATCGAGCAATGACGGCATACCTTTTTGCACGGTATTATCCAAAGGATAACATCGGTGATTCCAGACCTTTCCTTTCGAATGTTCGAGGTACATGATGGTGTATTTACAGTTGCAATATGCGTCCTGACTACCTCAAAAGACTACTCGTCGCTCCCCTTCAATTGCGTCGGACTGTTCTCGCTCAGCTTCATGATGTACCCGTAGCTGGTCATCTCGACGTGTCACGGACCTACGACAGAGTTTGGCGGCGCTTCTTCGGGCCTGGCATGTACTGCGCTGTCTGCCGTTTTATTGCAGCCTGTGACCATTGTTAACGATGGAAAAAGCCAAATACTTCTTTTGCCAGGCGCATTCCGCTCCACGTGCGCTGTCTGCCGTTTTATTGCAGCCTGTGACCGTTGTTAACGATAGAAAAAGCCAAATACTTCTTTTGCCAGGCGCATTCGCTCCACGTCCCAACAGATGCATTTGTGAAGAAGATGTGCCTGCGGCAAGCAGCATCGCCAACGCCCGACTCTCTCGGCTCGTGCTTCGGCTCGCTGCTGTGCTGATCTCTGCAGGACGGTTCTTCATGCTGTCTTGTTGTTGTCGTTATCGACTAATAAACCTCGTCACATTTGGTGGAGAGTGCTGTTCATCCCCGTCGCTACACCCTGGAACTGCGAAGCCGCATGCTACCGCCCGTCAAGACTGTCAACGCAAACCCATCGGCATCGTCGCCCCGGGTCAACTGCCCCGGCCATCCTAGGCTACGGGACCCGAAGGTCTTCAGCGGTGCGGATGGGACCGACGTGGAAGACTGGCTTGAGCACCACGAGCTGGTGAGCGCCAATAACAAGTGGGATGAAGCCGACAAGCTCGGCCATGTCATATTTTATCTCACCGGCGTCGCAGAATTGTGGTTTAACAACCACAAACACAACATCCCCACATGGAGCATCTTCAAGACGTCATGTGCTGAAGTGTTTGGTCGGCCGGCTGTCCGCAACCAGCGGGCAGAACAGCGCTTGCGTGTCCGCTCTCGGCAGACTGGCGAGACCTTTACCAGCTATATTGAGGACGTCGTTGACCTTTGTCGACGTGTGAATGACACCATGCCCGAATCTGACAAGGTCAAAAACATCCTGAAGGGCATCGACGACGGCGCATTTCAAATGCTCTTGGCAAGGAATACAAGCACAGTTTCTGAAGTCGTCAGCTTGTGTCAGAGCTACGACGAGTAGAAGAAGCAACGCACTCTGACTAGGCAGCCTCAGCCTGGTGGTGAGTCGCTGTCCAGTTTCGACTCCATGCCCGACAATTCAACATTGCTTCAGCAAGTCCGAGCCTTCGTCCGTGAGGAAGTCGCCCGCCAACTTTCCCTAGTGCCCTTTGCTCACGAGACTACCACCCGTCTACCTGCCCTGCTTCGCACTGCTATATCGGAAGAGGTTGCACAAGCTGTTCCCCTTGCGCACTACGAGCCGCCTCTATCTAGCCGTGTCCACTGCCCGCGTGTCGCACAGCCGGTAGGTGCCCCTGTCACCTATCCGCCAGCGATTCAGCCTGTGGCCGCGCCCCTAACATATGCAGCGCAGCCTGTGGCTCCTCCTGTCGCCTGTTCGCAAGAGATGCAGCCCGTAGCCGCCCCGCTCACATATGCAGACGCTGTGCGTAGGCTTCCGCAACCGCCCTACACCACGCGCTCACAGCGAGCACACCAGGCTCCTTATATTACACCTTGGGCGGCACCACCAGTCGCCAATCCATGGAAGACGCCCGATAACCGACCGATTTGCTACGTCTGCTTCACTCCCGGACACGTTGCCCGTTGACCTCAGACGTTCGGCAACTATGCGCGGTCGTCGCAACCATGGCAGCCAATTCTTCGACCAATACGGGCCGGTCTCGTCACCTCGCTATGCCCCTACTGACCACCTTGACTTCCAGCCGCAGCGCGCACCATCTCTTCGTCGGCGATCGCCCTCCCCCATGTGTCGCCGGTCCGGACCTTCCGAACAGGAAAACTAAGCACCGCAGTTAAAGAGGCAAGAACTGTGCTGTTTTCGAGTTGTCTAAGCCCTCGCCCCTCTCCTGCTAACATGGTCGCGGTAACTGTTGAAGGTTATTGTACTTTCGCCCTTGTGGACACCGGCGCAGCTGTTTCTGTTATTGCCGCTAATCTCTGCCGTTTATTGCGCAAAGTCGCGACACCGCTTTCAGGACTGTCGCTCCACACTGCAAGCGCACAGCAAGTAACGCCTCTCGCAGCCTGCACTGCAAGAGTGTCCATCGAAGGCAATCTTTACATCGTGGAATTTATTGTTCTCGCTGTCTGTTCGCATGACGTCATCCTCGAGCGGGACTTCCTATCCCGCCATAATGCCGGTATCAACTGCGCACGCGCCGAAGTTGAGTTTTCATCCTTGTGTGATGTTTTATTACTTGACGCTCTTCATCAGCCGGCGAAGTTGCTCGTTCATGAAGATACCGATATTCCACCTGGAAATTTTGCCCTTGTTCCCGTTTCATGCAACGCCTACACTGACGCTACATGCCTTTTTATGCCTTCCGATATCTTCAAGAGTCGTCGAGCTCTGCCGCTGCCTTTCGCAACAATTGACCTTGCCGCCGGAAGAAGCAATATGTTCGTAAGCAATCCGCTTTCCACACCTGTCACTTTGCTTGCGGGGGAATGTCTCGGCCGCGTGCCGGATCTCGACCCTTCGGCTTTTGTTGATGTCCCGGATGACTACTGCGACCACCCAAAATCACTGTCGGCACTCGAGGAGTCGTCTAAGGATACGTCTTCTAGTGCCATTGCCGACACTCTCACTCCCACCGAACAGGCCGACCTGCTGGATCTTCTGCAAGAGTTCAGGAGTTCTTTCGATGTGTCGCAGCCTCAACTGGGCCGCACGTCACAAGTCAAACATCATGCTGACACCGGCCTACACCAGCCACTGCGTCAAAGACCATACCGTGTCTCCGCTGAAGAGCGCCGCGTCATCAACGATCAAGTCGAAGATATGCTTCGTAGAAATGTCATTCGACCAGCTCACTGTGCCTGGGTGTCTCCTGTCGTCCTCGTGCGTAAGAAAGATGGATCAATCCGATTTTGCGTGGACTATCATCGTTTGAACAAGATAACCCGCAAGGACGTATATCTTTTGCCGCGCATTGATGACGCCATCGACACCCTTCACGGAGCGGAATTTTTCTCGTCGCTAGATTTGCGGTCTGGCTTTTGGCAAGTCCCAATGGCTGAAGCCGATCGTTAAAAAACGGCGTTTACTACACCGGACGGACTATACGAGTTTAACGTCATGCCCTTTGGGCTTTGTAACGCGCCTGCCACGTTTGAGCGTCTTATGGATAATACGCTACGTGGCCTCAAGTGCAATATGTGCCTCTGTTACCTCGACGATGTCGTGGTTTTCTCCCATGATTTTCCTACGCACCTCCTTCGCCTCAGGCACGTTTTGACTTGCCTGACCAACGCTGGCCTGTAGCTTAACCTGAAAAAATGCCGCTTTGCTGCACGCGAGCTCGTCATACTAGGCCACATCGTGTCCAAACACGGCATTGTTCGCAATTTTGCATCTATGATGTCATCATTAACCCAGCTTCTTCGCAGTGCATGAACCTCTCCTCCTGGTCCCCTGCATGTGACGTTGCCTTTACTACTCTACACCGTCTGCTCACCTCCCCACCTATTCTTTGCCACTTCGCCTGGCATGTACTGCGCTGTCT